GGGCGGGCGGGGGGCGGCGGCGGCGGGGCCATGCGGAGCCCGGGCTGAGCGCGGCGGCCGCCCCTCGCCATGAAGCGGCAGAACCTGCGCACGGCCGCGCTCATCCTCTGCATCTTCTCCTACCTGCTGGTGGGCGCCGCGGTCTTCGATGCGCTGGAGTCGGAGGCGGAGAGCGGCCGCAAGCGGCTGCTGGAGCAGAAGCGCGGGGAGCTGCGGAGGAAGTACCGCTTCTCCGCCGACGATTACCGGGAGCTGGAGCGCCTGGTGCTGCAGGCCGAGCCGCACCGCGCCGGCCGCCAGTGGAAGTTCGCCGGCTCCTTCTACTTCGCCATCACGGTCATCACCACCATCGGTGAGTGCGGGCAGCCCGATCGGCGCGCCAGGCATCCCTCCATCCCCGAACCTCTGCACCCCGTGTCTCTCCATCCAACCTCCCTGCACCCCGTGCCTCTCCATCGCTGCCGCACATGTCCCTCCATCCCCACGCCGCTGCATCCCATGTCCCTCCATGTCCCTGCGCCCCATTCTTCTCCAGCCCTACACCTCCAGTACCCCCGGGAGCCCCAGGGCAGTCTGGGGGGTGCCCGCAGGGCAGGTGTCACCCTTGCAAGGCTGGGACATCTCTTCAGGCCACCCAGGAGCTGACCCTGTGGGACTCCAGTGCCCAGGGGTGGGCGAGGTGACCCACGGGCAGGCTGGGGCCACCCTGTGCTGGGGGTGCTGCTGTGGCTGGGGCCGCACGACACGACATTATCCCAGGGAGGCAGCAGCTTGCGGAGCTCCTGCGGGAACCTTTGGAGCAGGCGGCTGCCAAAGTTGGCAGCGGTGTGGGAGGGCAGAGGTAGGGCCCGTGTCTGTCCCCTGTGCCAGCTCTAGCCAGTGAGCTGGGTGAAGAGCTGGGCAAGAATTGTTGGCTTCTTTGCTAGCTCAAAACTCTGGGTGTTTGGCTGTGTGAATCTGCTTCATGCCAAGAGAGCCACGAGCCACTGCCCGCTGCCTGCCTGCACAGAAACCTGCAGAGACATAGGTGTCAGCTTGGGAGGGAGTGATTGAATCACATTAAACTCCCCTGTAGACTCACTTAACCATAGCAGAGCCCAGTGCCGTGGTTTGTCCGCTTCAATTTTGCAAGAGAATGAAACTAAATTGAATGAGGGTTGCCTTAATTTAGGTAAGATTAGCCACATAGGAGTTGAGCATTGTTTAATGAATCCACTTAGATTAATTCATGCACCCTTGGCATCCTGTGGGGGTAGACAGGGATCCTGTGCTTGTGCCACTGCTTGTGCTGGAATTTCGGTCAGCAGAAGTGTTTTGGAGACAGGAATCCTGAGGCTGAATCCTGCACAGCCAGCAGCCTCCTCCTGTTCTTCAGGACAGGACTTCAGCCTTCCCAAAGGGCTTGGGATGGTGGAAATACCTCTGGTAGCATCATCCCTCAGGACAAAGGTCGGTGGGATCAGCTGCACTGTGTTACCAGAGGACAAGAGGTGGAAGAGGGACAGGTATCTTGCAGGCCTTGCCTGGGCTCTCCATGTGCTCCCATGGGATGCAGTGTGAGGTTTGTGCTGGGAACACACATGGTCAGCAAACCACAGTGGGCTCAGGGCATGGTTCGGGTCAGACCCCAGCAGGAGGGAAAGATGAACAGCTTCAGCAAAAATCCCCATCATCACCTGACAGGTTATAGCTTCATTTACATTATTTTCCTGTTGGCTGTGACAAACAATGGCTGTGCTTATCACACACCCTGTGTGATAAATAATTTCAGCCCAGGTGCCGTATTTCTCAAACACTGACATGTTAGATCTCTTTATATTGGGCTGTGCTCCAAATCTCAGTTTTAATGCTATTGTAGCTGTGTTTACTCTTTCTAATTCCCTTTGTCATTTCAAAACCATCAGTCAAACACTCCTTCAACAGTCTCTCAGGGTATAACAATTGTTTTTCCACTTACTGCTCTTGTGGATCATTATCTTTACATCCTCATTGCTGTCATTGTATTATCTCGTAGCCTGGGACCTGGTGATTGCACTCAGTTATTAAGCTTGGATCTGACTGGGAGGTTTTGCCACTGCAGTCTCCTGTCTGCTCTCTATTTCATGAAATGTGGCATGCAGATACTAAATTCATCATTTTTATGTTGTGTGAATTTGTTGTGTGAATTTGTGAACAGAGAGAGCAATTAGAAGCTGGTCCCTTGCTGCCTGCTGGCAGTTCCGAGCACAGCATGGTGAAGGACAATGCTGCCCTCAGCCCTGTCCCATGCAGGAGTTTCCTGGAGCAGGAGGTGTGCTCGGGAGCCCAGGATAACATGGTTATCCTCCTCTAGTCCTTCCATCAGTGGGTGCAGCACCTTCCCCAGGTATCCTGGAAATCCACGGGCAGCAAGGACTGAGGTGAAGCCAAATCACCACTTCAAACAAGACTGTGGGGTAACAAGAAGGTGTTTTCCCCCATGTTCTCCATGCAAAAGTCACACAAAATCACGCAGAAAGTGAAAGTACAAATAGCTGTTTGTGAAAGGCCTGGCAGCAGCACAGGAAGGAGCTGGCACTGTTCTGCAGGCACTTTCAGAAGAAAAGTTTCAGGCCCTGGTATTTTCTTGTAGAAGCAACTCAAAAGAAAGGCTCAGATGCCTTTGGATGTCTTTGGATGACACGTGACTCCCTTGCACTGATTTTGTTACTCATCCTCTGAGGTCAGGGGCCACCAATTTCTGCTAAGCTGCTGTAATTGAGGTGGGCACGGAATCGCTGGAGCCCTGAAGATTGCAGTGAATACCTCACTGTGCCTCACAGTGTAATGGTGTGTGTCCTTGAGTCACAGCTCTGAAACTTGGGCTAAGGTGGAGGAATTAAATCTCAGAAGGCTTTCAAGGAGAGCCTTGTTGTCCTGGAGCTCCTTGTCCCCAGGAAAAGGGCTGACAGGGCTGTGGTGGCATAAATGCTCCCTACCCTGCATCTAAACCAGCACAGCCCCTCCTCCCCAACAGGCCAGTGGTGCTTTAGGTCTGAGTGTTAGTGACACTGGAGTAAGTCTGGAGTGGGTCTGCAGACATCCTTCCAGACTTAGCTGCTCCTGTGGGGAGTGTCCCTATAGCACAGGGCTGCAGGACCACTCTGGCTCCTGTCCAACAGGCCACACAGCAAGTGCTCATAGAGATGAGACTGAAATGTGCATGTTATGATACTGGACAGCTGGGGAGGAGGAGCAGGTGACAGGGGTGGTGGCAATGCCCCTGCAAGAGCAGTTGTGGATGGGTGTGTTCCTTCCCACAGGGTGATCTGACGCTGTTGGTCTCAGCATCTTGCAGAGCCTCTGTTCCCCCTCGCCGTGGGGTTCAGGTTACCCTGCACACCTGGCACTGGCACAGCATCCTGGCCTCAGAATTATTCATGAGCTGCAGGAGGCTTGCAGACCCGAGTCCAGCTCTAGGCCGTCTCATGGCCTCTGTGACACTTGGGGGCTATCAGGAGGGTACCTTCTTTCTTTAGAGGTCAAATGAGGTAATGCCTACATGAGTGTGCCATCCTCCCAAAGGATGGGCGTTCCATGGTCCCATTAGCATTGCCTACAGATCTGTTACTGAGTCATTTTCCATTCTTCCCCCCATTTTTCTGCTGTTCCTCTTGGTCACAGGGCAGCCTTGCTGGAAACCCCAATGAGGGCCTGACACCACCTTTCCTCTTCCCTGTGTCCTTCACAGGTTATGGGCACGCTGCTCCTGGCACAGACGCTGGCAAAGTCTTCTGCATGTTCTACGCCATCCTGGGCATCCCCCTGACGCTGGTCATGTTCCAGAGCCTGGGGGAGCGCATGAACACCGTTGTGAGGCTACTGCTCAAGAAGATCAAGAAGTGTCTGGGCATGAGAACAACCCATGTCTCCATGGAGAACATGGTCCTGGTGGGCTTTCTGTCCTGCATGGGCACCCTGTGCATCGGCGCCGCAGCCTTCTCTTATTTCGAGGGCTGGACTTTCTTCCATGCCTATTACTACTGCTTCATAACCTTGACCACTATTGGCTTCGGAGACTTTGTGGCTCTGCAGAAGAATGAGGCTTTGCAGAAGAAGCCCCCATACGTGGCTTTCAGCTTCATGTACATCCTGGTGGGCCTGACCGTCATCGGCGCCTTCCTCAACCTGGTGGTGCTGCGGTTCCTGACCATGAACTCGGAGGACGAGCGGCGCGACGCCGAAGAGCGAGCCTCGCTGAGGAGAGCCCGCAACAACATCCACCTCAAGCCAAAAGAGGACAGCCGCAGCAGCAATGCCATTTTTCTCCCTGTGGAGGACAGGACGAGCCAGATGAACCTGATCCCGCTGGTCCAGGAGGACGCGGAGAGGCAGCGGCGCCAGTCGGCCGTCTCGGCAGCCGAGGTGCCGTCCTTCTGCACGTGCCTGTGCTACAGACCCCAGGTGTGCGGCAGCCCGGCGCCCTCCCACCCCGAGACCCTGAGCTGCCACACCAACCCCGTGTATTACAACTCCATTTCCTACAAAATCGACGAGGTGTCCCTGAGCACGCGGGGTCAGACCGGCTCTTCCCCGGGGAGCACTTTGTCTTCCAACAGCCCTCGCTGCCGGCAGCACCCCCGGCTGCGGAGGAAATCCATCTAGGAGCGCGTGCCGAGCCGTACTCGGCGCTCGAGTCTTACTATGATGATAAATTAAGAACAGAGATGTCAGGTTCTTCTTACTCATTTCTTCTGTTCCTCTCCCTGCCCCCAGCAGGAGCCTCTAAATCCTGTTGGGAAATAATGATTCCTTTTTTGCAGGCACCGAGTGACATCATTAGTTTTTCTTTGCTTTTTCCTCCCAAGTAGGTTCAAACATTTGGGACTGGCAAGAGCCTCCCTCCCACCCCGATGTGAAGCCCAGTGAGCTGCAGGTTTGCTCTCCCACCTCCCTGCTCCCCAAAGGCTGCATTGCTGCCCTCCCACCCTGCTGAGCCTTGGCTGTGGCTGCTGCCAGCACATGACTCTTGCTCCATGGGCTGGGCTGCATTTGCTGAGTGTCAAAAGCAAAATTTGCCGAGTGTGTGAGCAAGCCTTGCAAGGCTGGGGACTACCAAGTTGTCCCCTGGCACCTGGTGCAGGTAAGTCAGTGCCACACAGTAGGTTTGCAGCTGGTGGGTGGGCAGGAGGGAATGGGCTGCAGTCCTGAAGTTCAGCACATGGGGACAGCTTCATGGAGGAATTTTATCTCCTGTGAGCAGCCCTCTGGGTCTGAGCTCAGGCTTGTGGCTGCTCAGTGCTTTTGGAAACTGGAGGCCCATGCACTCCCCACTTGCCCACCAGCACACCTTGCCTCTTTTACCTCCCCACCATGGGTAGATCCTCCTGGCTGAAATGGCTGGAGGGACACTGTGCCCCATTCCCAGGGCAAGCTGAACTCCTCCAGTCCAGCCCAGCCCAACCCAGCTCCAGCTCTTCTCTGTGCTGAGCCCCGACTGTACTAAGAACAGCCCCAGGGAGAGCCTCCTGAACTACAGACACCTGCAAACAGCTTGGTCCTAAGCAGATTTTTTTTTTCCTTAGCTAAAATCACCCCTTCCTTCCCCACCTTTCCTCCAGCTGGCAGCCCAGCAGCTGTGCTGGCTCCTCACCTCCTCCCAGTCCCTGTGAGCCCATGGGTTTGTGCTTGTTGCTGCTGGGGTTATCTGGGGTGGGGGTGATCCCATCTCCATGTTCATCCCCGTGTGGGATGTGGTACCTGCACAGCCACACCTGGGCAGCTCTTTCCAGCTGGTGACCCCAGCGTGGCCTTTGTCCATCCTGTCTCATCTGCATGAGAGCAGGGCTCTGACAGTGGCAGGAGCTCTACTGATTTTTTTTTTTTCTCCAATAATGGACATTTTAACTCTCAGTTCTATTTAAAATACCCTCTGAGGGGGTTTTTGTGGAGAAATAGCCCCTTTTCCTGCTGGGGAAGGCATGCAGAGTTGCCAGCATTGTGAAGGTCTCAGGGCAGGCTTTGCTCTCTCCTCCTTTTGTTCTGGGTGGCAGCTTAATAAAAGGTGAATCCATCAGGTGGTGGTTGATTATTTGTTACAAGGATGAGCAAAGGGATGTGTCCAAGCCCCAAGCCCCAGGCCCCAGGCTGGCTCCCTGTGGACACTGAGGCAGAGAGGAGGATGCAGGTGCTGCTGGGCTGCCACCAGGGGCTGGTTTGTGACACCTTCACCTGGGTGCTCCCAGGCCCTTTGGGGTGGGTGACATTCCAGGGGCTGGGAGGTCCCAGCAACTGCCTCATTTGCATCACCCAGTCTGAGCCCAGACCTGCACCAGCTGGGTGAGCCTTGGTTTACAGGGAAAGGGGGAGGAGGGGGGAACAAAGCAAGCTGTGGGTGTGGAAAACAAGCTTAAAAATGAGGCTTTCATTGGCTTCTCAGCTCCTCAGCGTGTCACTTCACGCTGATCCCACCAGCTCAGCCCTTTTGTTGCCATGTCCCATCTCCCCCACCCTCCCCATGGATTTCAGCCCAAGGTTTGGCTCTTGTGCTGCCCTCTGCCATCAGAGCTGAGCAGATGGAAATCTCTCCCTCTTTCCACGTTGAGCCTTGGACATCCTCCCAGTGGCCAGGATGGAGCTGCACCTCTCACCTTCATCCATCGTTGTGGAGGGAAGCAGGTCCTTGATTCCTGCTCAGGTCACCTGCATGGTATTGCCCTGGTGAGATCCACCCCTGGTGGAGCTGGAAGCAGGAGAAAACCTGAACCCAGAGGCTGAGCCAGCCCTGCACTCTCTTCTGGATTCAGCAGGGCACTGCCCAAGCTCAGTGGCTCCGTGGCTGTGTCCCAGAGCCCAGGATGCAGCCCTGCAAAGGCACAGCCCAGCAGAGGCAGCAGGGCGGGCGCTGTGACCTCCACACCCTGGCGGGCAGTGCTGGTGGTGAGGTGACAGCAGCTGCCTGTAGCTGCTGCTTCCATGTGGCCTGAGCTTCCAGGCAGCACTGCTTGGCTGCTCAGTGACAGCCTGAGCCCCATCCTGCTTGGGAAACTGGTGGTGGCCTGAGGGTGGGAGATGCTGGGCTGTCCCCTGACACTCTAGAGAAACCCTCCTCCTCCTCCTCCTCCCCCTTCCATCACTGCTCCCTCAGGGGCTGTAGCTGGGGCAGTGGGAAGCTGCCCCTTGGTCTCACCCTAATGACCTGCAGAGGGATTTAGAGGCATGACAAACACCTTTTAAGAAATTCTTATTGAACTATGACTTTGTGATCCCATTCCCACGGGAAAAGGACTTGCAGTAGCTCCCCAGAGAATGGTGCCTATTCTCAGCACCACCACCTCCTCCCACAGACCCCTCCAGCAGGATCCCCCACACATTTCCCACCCAAGGGCTCACAGCTCCAGATCATCCAAGCAGCAGCTGCACACCCAGTAACATCTGAGGGTCTCCTTCCCTGGGGGTCCCCAGGCTCCCCTGCACCCACACTGGATGTTCCCAATAGCCTGGGCCAGGGATGGCTTTTTTTCTGCCGGTAGAGCCTTCACCTCCAGGGTTTCAAAATCACCCTTGAATGGCCAGGGCTGACCATGAAGGGTCTTGGAAAGAAAACAGCAGGAGCTTTAGACTGAGGTGGTGAGCAGAGCACAAGTGGGAGCTAAGCTGTGCCTGGAGATGCCCATGGCCAAATTACATCCAGAAGTGGCTCAGGGAAATGCAGGTTTGAAGCTGGGGCTGATTGAGGGAGCTGGAGTGACAGCCCTTCCACAAGAGCACTGGGACACACGAGGCTGAGCTGCTCTCATTCCCTCCAGGCACAAGGAGAAGGAAGGGTCCAGCTGAAATCCTAGGTTGAAGATAATGGTGGTGACAACAGAGAGGGCAGAGACACTCCATAGAAAACCTCCAACACACCGTAGGAAAAAAAAAAGGTTTTATTATCACCATTATCAACGTTTTCATTAGCTTAACACTGAATTGTAAATCACTTATTCATTACATATTGTCTGAATAAAACCTACAGACAGGAAAAAAGTATAGCAGAATCCTCTCCTGACTACAGACGAGTGGCCGGTGTCCCACCTTCCACCCAAGGCAGCCCAGGCACCTCACCAGCCACTCGCCACCTGGGCAAGAAGGCTGCCCAGCTCCATTGCCTGTGTTCCCTCTGGCTCCACAGAGATTACATCTCACCAAATGATGTTAAAAACCTCCAGAAAGATTTGGAGAGAGTTACAGAGGCCAAAAAGAGCAGATCTCAGCTGCCCCCACTCCTAGGGAAAAGCAAGAGGAGTGTTGTAGTGCGCCTGCAAAGTTACTGGGTTTTGTGGAGCAATTAATGAAGTAAAAAGGTTCAACCTGTGAAAGCAGATTTCCCTACAGTGGCCAGGCCCTGGCGGTGGGGAACAAGGCAGAGTTCCAGCACGGTGGCAGGTGGGGGCAGGGATGGGCTGGGGGTGCCCCATCCCCGAGCAGAGGCCAGCTCTGCCGCACCGCCCGGGGCTCCCGGCGGGCAGCGGGGGATGGATGCTCAGTGCAAAGAGATGCCGTGGGCAGCCTCAGTCCCCGCGGGCTGGAATAAGGCCTCGTGTCCAGAGGGAAGTGGGGACCCATGGAGGGAGCAGAGGGTGCTGGGGAAAGCAAAGGAAAGGCAGTGGAAAGCTCGCTGGGAGCTCCCCTTCTCCAAGTCCAGAGGCAGCTCCCTGTTTTCCCCTGGCTGTCAGTGATGGCACATCCTGCCTGCCCGGGCTGCCCAGCCCCTGCAGAAGACCCCTGGCTCCTTCCAAGGATGGGAAAGGAAGCAGTTTGAAC